ACTAGGTGTCGACATTAAGGACGTAGCGAGGTTGGCTGAAAATATAGTCCTCGACTCCCTGGGAATCATTCACCACCACGTGCATGGCTAGCCCGAGAGTTTTAATTTATGTATTTGTTTATTTATTTATTTAGTGAATAATTGAAAATAATAGCGATAAAGAGAGAGAAGTGAGAGAAAGGGAAACTTAATGTTAAATAAAAAAAAAAAAAAAAAAAGCATGAACAATGAGAAGAAGGAAAAAGGAAAAAGGAAAAAAAAAAAATTATAAAAATAAATAAAATAATAAAAATGTATATATATATATTTCTATTTTACTAATATTAACTAATACTTCTGTATATTTATATATAAGTTCATTTATTGTCTTAAGGATAGAAGAGTATGCTGTGTATATAGCAACCCAATATAATTGGGCAGCAATCCTTTATATTTTATATTTTATGAAAATAAAGTGTTTCTCTCTTATGAGTCTTTTGTAAATAATTGGAAGTTATAGTTATTATAGTTAGAGCATTTGTCTAGTAAGTGCTGCAGTAGTCGAAAACGTCGGGCGGTTTCTAGTCGTTTCAGTCTGGTATGGGGAATAGTTTCTTAAACTAAATCATTAAAATCAAATTTGGTGAATAAATACTGCACTCGTCTCTTGATGTTTATTAGTTTCATTTTGATTTGTGCCTTTGGACATTATCCACTAGTTAAATCACATTTTTTATTTTACATGAAAAAAGTACCAAAAAATGTGTTTCTCTATTAATAGTTGTATTTTATTTTTAATTTTATTTATTTATTTTTTCTTTTAATTGAGATTATAGCTTTACACATTTAAGGTGTTTGGTAATGCTTAAGTATGCCATATGCACCATTAATCTATTAGTTAGTGTTTATTTTTTTATTTTAAGTTATTAGATATTTATTTTTATTTTCTCATCCGCTTTTATACTGCTTCAATTGCTTGTTAGTGGTTCTTTTGGTTTGAATGAATATTCGAACTATTTTTCTTACTGGAAATTTTCTCGGGGGTGAAACATACACCATTCTTCATAAATCATACTATTTATTTTATAAACATTATTGAAATGATGTTAAAATTTAACACAATTCTAGCACATTGTTTTGAAGGGAGATTGAAAAATATTTTCTTAAAATTTAGTTAGTTCTCTAGATTCAAAATTAAGGTTAAGGTTGTAAGAAAAAACATATGTTTACTATTGCACCTATCCTTATGGTGTAATTGTTAATTTTGTAAGCATTGACTATTTAAATGGCAATGGTTATTAGGCATCAATTGTTTATTTTCTTTAAATTTTACTGCTCTCTTATCTGGAAGGCATTTACTGTACTATAATATACATACTAGTGATATAGTTTGTTCTTAAGTTAATTTAAGTTTTGAAATTGATAGAAATTTTAATATTGAATAATCAGTTCATGTGCCCTGAATTACTATTACACTCTTCTGGATGCTAAAAAAACATAATCTCTTTTAACTCGCTGAAGATGATAGTTATTTCATCTTATTCAATAGACTCCTTTTAAAGTATTGTTTAATTATAGTATTATTTATATATATATATACATACATACATATATGTATGTATATATATTATTCTTAATATTTTGTCCTTATAAAAACAAAATAGATCCATTAGATCTCGAACATTGGTACTTTCATACCTGTCTTAGAGATTTAGACATGATTTTTTTCTTTTCTATTTGAGTAACTTTACACACCACGCCCATTTCAATTATCATGATGCCTATTATTTCAATTATATTTACCTAGAAGCATGTTTTGTATTAATCATGAATTATAAATAATTTTTAAATTATATTAGTTATTTTCATTTTTGCTTGTTAATATATTTATAAATTTTAGAAGCAAAATTTGTTTATTGTTATTTTTTCATTATATTTCAATTTTAAAACTACATTTATTATCATTTTTAGTTGTAAATATGCCATGCATGCATAGAATTAAAATGCTTTTCTTTTTATTTTATGTGGCTATTAACAAAAAGGAATAACTTCAAATTAAAAAATGTAAAAGGTGTACCAATGAAAGAATAAATTCCTAATAATGTTTTCGAAAATGAACTTTAAAAACTTAAAATGGAGTTATCCATTTTAAATTGTAGTATATGCATCATTTATTTCTATAATTTAGATTGCAATTTATCTTTTTATGTTTTATATTATCCTTCTCTGTGATCTGCACTATTTTATTTATTTGTATATCTTTTTCATGCAACCATTCAAACTTTTTTTTTTTTCTGTTTCTATTTAAGGGCTAATGGGTGTGTAGATTAAAATATTTGTTTTAGATATGCGTTATGAATAGGCTTTTTTAAAATTGTTTTTCTACTATTTCAAAATACCTTCCAAAACTTAATTCTGTGATTAATATTGAATCATCTGATAAATAATTTGATATTACTGATTCAGATGGTAAAAAATAAATACTGTTTTATCTTAAATAAATATTAAGAGATGTTAGGGAGGGGAGGGGGAATTATTAATATGCTGAATTATGTCAAACCAGAAATACTATGTAACAAGTAAATGTTAAAAAATTATTTGTTTAAAGCGAGCAGAAATAACCTTAAGTGTTTTAAAATATATATATTCAACAAAAATGTAATTTTATTCATAATGCTTCTCTCTCCCTCTCTCTCTCTCTTAATATATAAACTGCAAAATTAATGTACGCTACTTTTAAAATTATCAAAGATGGTTAAAAATTTGCTTTAATTTTTTTTATTGTTGTGTGTGCTTTTGTTACATTTTGCTTTGCATGTACAGGAAGATTAAAGCTAACTTTTAAGACAGCTTTTATTAATTTATTTTTTCGCAATGACTGATGTTTAATTATATCAATTATGACAACATGAAAATCAAAATTTATATAGGCTTAAACAGATAAAGATACCCACAGTGGAATATAAATAAATTTATCGCTGCCTAACCTAAATACGGCCTTAAATAATCAAAAAATTCCTCTCATATGGTTAAAAAATTTAAATTAACTTTAAAACTATTTGAAATTTCTTACAAGTTTGCCTCACATTTTTAAATAATTATTACAACATACAATATAGCTTATTGTAATTTTTTTTTTTATCTTTAACTAATGCTTATTTTTAACTTCCAAGTTATATTTTGCTTATTATTACAAGTTAAATTTTATTTATATATCTTTGAAGGATTTTTACAAAAATAAAGTGTTTCTATTTTCTTGCAAATAATATTTTTAATTTATATTTGCTTCTGTATTCCCCATATTTTTTGTTACTATCATTAAAATTATCTTTTATTCTTTTTCTATATATTCAGATTCTTATGATCACATACTAAAAATATTTGGAAACTATGAAAGTTATATGAGCTAATTGTCTAATTCTTTTTTGGAATTAGTTATACAAATATTTATAAGCAAATAGTGGTTTCTTTAAACCGAGCATCTTAAAATTGCCAGCCAGATACTTAGCCTTATGATTGAATGTACTTGAGAGAAAGCGAGATGTAGTCAGCGTTTTATTCCAACTTCATCATTTACTCCCTGATTTATCTCAGGTATGAAATAGGGCTTTGTGTGTCTGTGAAATTCAGAATTTTAGATTCTTCATAAGATCTTACATCATTACTTAATATTCAGAAATTTTCAAGGTTATAAAATTGAAAAATTTCTACTTTAACTACACAATCCAAACTATCGTGGGACATATATACTGGTCTAAGCTGGGAAAATCTATCTATGGAGCAGATTTTCGTATTGTATTATTTTGTAGTAAACCAAAAAATCATTGAAAATGTAATATAACTTCAATTTTCAGAGGATTAATATACTGTATGGTTTTGAAAATATTTTAAAAAATGATTTATTTTATTTTATTTTTTTAAATTTTTAACTAACTTTTAGTGTGATTTATAATCATGGCTGCATTTTCGTTTAATTATAAATGCTTTTTGGTCCAGTAGCATTCATTCTTTACACCTTTTTGTTGTTGTTTATTAAAAATGTTATAGTCAAATTAATTAAATGATAGAAATTTATGATCGTTTTAATTCATCGATGTATATTATTTATTGAGCTTATGGTTGTTATGTCATACTTTTTTTTTAAACCCAAAACATTTCAATTTTTAATTTGGTAATTTTAAAAATTATCCAATTTAATTCTAGTTAAAGGAATATTTTATGAGAACCATGGATATAATGTGTTATGTAATCAAGTAATACCACTCTAATCCATGTTTACACTAAATAAAACATTTCTTATTAAATTTTAAGTGATATTTTGTTATCATTATTATGCATTTTTACACTAATATTTCATTATCGAGTTGTTATATATAAGTAGATTAAGGCTACTTCTTTATTGATTAGTGATTGCTAAGATTTATAAAAAATTATTTTATTTTTTATTTCTTCAAATTTTATTATAATCTATAATATTAACTTTAGATTATCATGTATTATTCCATCAACCTTTTTTTTTTTTTTTTGTTGTATATTATAACTAAAGATCAAAAATATAAAGTTTCTTTCAAGTTCTGTCTTATATGTTATTGTTCTCATTTATTTATGAAAAGTAATTAAAAGATTTAGTCTGCCTTCTGTGAAAGTTGTAAAGAAATGTTGAGCATATCATTAAAGAATTTCAGTCAAGATACTGAAGTTTTTTTTTTATGTAAAAAAATTATAATAGTGGAATGTAATTTATTGTTTTTTAAATATTTTTTTATATTTTTAAAATAACAAGTGATAAAAAGGTTATATTGTTTTACTTGGTCGATGGGATAAGACATGACTAATTTTATTTTATAAATTACTATTTAAGTTTTTTATTTTTCCAAATTATGTTTAAATATATTTTATAATTTTTTTTTATTAAATTGTTTATATTTTTTTTTATTATTGTGTATTTATGTTAATATCTTCCTCAAAAAGTGCTTATATATCCCCTTCCTCTTTGCCCTTTCCTGCCTGATTTTTTTCAGATGTGGAAGATGTCAAGTTTGTCATCAATTTTGATTTTCCCAACAACTCGGAGGATTACGTTCACCGTATCGGCAGGACTGGTAGATCGAAGCGTACAGGGACCGCCTACACCTTCTTTACGAGAAGTAATGCCAAACAGGCTGCAGAATTGGTAGCTGTATTGAAGGAGGCAAACCAGACGATAAATCCCAAACTGGAGGACCTGGCAGATAGCTATAGGGGTGGAGGAGGCAGGAGTATGTTTTTATTTATTATATTTCTTTATCTGTGTCACACATGCAATGGTATTTATTATGCGTAATTGTTGGTGACCTTATTTGGTCAACAAAAAATTACCTTTATATCGTAGGTCAATTGCAAAAAATTACTAAGTACATTTTGGGTATAGTTTAACTTTAAATTATTTTTTTTTTAATTTTGACTTTATTTATATATACTAGTATCCTATAAGTGCTTAAAAGCGATTCAATCCCTTTTATATATCAAATATAGTTACAACTTCACAATTTTCTGATTTCATGCAGGGGAAATACTTCAAAGTTCTTTATTATTTAAGATTATGAAATGTCACTTAATGACTCTTTGCAATAAATTTTCAGAATTGTTTGATAATAATATTATTATTATTTTAGTGTTTTTAATGACATGTTTAATGTTGCTATTATGAATATTACCTTATCTCTTAATGTAGTTTTGGTCTGTGTTATTCAGATTTTTTTTTTTTCTAATGTTTAATGGGCAGTAATCACCTTATGTTCAATATCTTCTACTTTTTGTTTCAATCATTCACGTTAATCACACTAAAAACATGTATTTGAAATATCATCCATTGCAACTATATTTGCATTTTTCTCATCTCTGGATATTTATAAATGCTATGCCAGAAAAACTGTTGCTGTTTTATTGCGAATGGGCCATCAAGCCATTTTGTACATTTTCATAAACGTGAAGCGTAGCTGAGCAAGTGCATTCCTCATCAATGCAGATAAATATAGTCAGGCAGAGCCAAGTCTGGTGAGTAAGCTACATGCACACCAACTGAATGCCCTTATAATTTCTTCACTAGTTTTGCTCCGTGTGAGGGTTCATTATCAATCAGCAAAATCACTTTTTGTTGTATTTTTTATATTCTGGTCGGTTTTCACACAATACTCCATACTTATCGATAATTTGTTGTTAATAGTATTTAGTGGTTTTGCCAGGTTTTAGCAGCTCATAATAGATTACACCCCAATTCTTCATTTCTCATGTCAAAGTTGGCACTTTTTGAACTTTCAAACCACTCATCTTTTGATTTACCTAAAGTCTGCTCACACTGAAGCTTTTGGCAAGCATTCAATAATATTCTGCAGTAGATTTCACTGAAAGGTAACAGAAAACTGATGTTATCCAAAAAAACCGTAGTTGGCAGGCACAAAACTCGACACACTCAACACTATTAAAATGATGCTGTTATATGAAACTTGCATTGTTGTAAGTTTAAAATCTTTGTCAGATTTCGAAGTAACAAAATGGCACCTATAATAATGTGTTTTAACAGTAACTACATTTAAAACTAGAAGTGTCTATGAACCTAGACCAATATAGACCTGTCATATATTTTATTTTCTGTGATTTATTCAGCATGTATTTAATTTATAATTTTTTCTTTTACAGGAAGAGGAGGCTTTCGTAATCGAGGAGGTCGAAAATCCAGGAGTAGAAGTCCCCTTAGGTCTCGAACCAGATCGCCAACACCTAGAAGAAGATCACCTAGGCGGAGATCTCCTCGAAGGCGTTCCCCAAGGAGGAGGTCTCGTACTGATTCACCTCGTTCTCCATCAGGCAAGTGTGAGGAGAAGAACTCACAGTCGGAGTCAGATGAGAGGAAGCTCGCGCAGGCCCTTATCAACATTATAGGGGGCCCTCGCGCAGATACGGGGGGTCAGGACAATATTAATTTGAGTGGAGAAAAGGAACCTGTTGCTCTCAGTCAGAAAGAAGAGCAGCCTGTAGAGGAGGCTAAGCCCTTAAGCATTGCACCTTTAGATTCAAATTCTGTATTTGATCAAATTAATGAACATAATATTGACAATGAAGAAAGAAAAGAAAATGGTTATTCATCTCCCTCTCCAAAGAAATCGCTATCAGAGGATCATGATCAACTTGATGGATCCTCATTAAATAACCCAAACTTAAAAGATACCAAAGATGAATCTGAGTCTGTAGATGGTGGTGTAAAAGAAAATCAAACTGACTTAGAATCAAATGAGCCAAAAATTGATTGTGTTGAGTCAGAAGAAGCTAACAACCAAATTAATGGTTCTATTAACCCAATTCTCTCAGACAAACAAGAAAATAGTGAGTCATCTTCGAATTTTGTTCCTTTGGATCAAACAAATAATTCAAGTCATTTAATGGAAGCAGTAGCTGAAAAACAACTTCAGAATAACACTGTAAATGAAGCTGATTCTCAGACAAACAGTGCCAAAACTAATGGTTCCAATTCAGATCCACCAAGTGATTCAAGCACTGTTACAAATACTGAGCAATCAATAAGTGCTCATGAGGCTGTTTCAAATGTGAATGCACCACCTCAAGAGCAGCAAAATAGGCACCGAACAGGAGGACCCCCTCCACAGCTTGAGCCGCATCATATGAGTGGGTCCAACAACCATGGAAACATGATGAGTATTCCTCCTGACCATATGAGGCAAATGATGATGGGTGGTCAACAAGAGCATCAGTTGGGTAATCATGGGCAACCTAGGCACCCTTTGAACAATGGTGTACAAGATCTACCAAGACATATGATGAATGTTCCACAACACGATCCATCTAGAATGATGGGTATTCAACAAAATGAGGGACATCATTTTCAAATAAGGCATATGGGTCCACCACCAATGGATCCCAACCAAAGAAATCCAATGGGAGTTCACATTCAGAGAGGTATGGTTGGCATGCATCAGGAACCGCCTAGGATGATGGGAGGACCTCAGAATAATGGTCACATGCCAAGAATGGGTTTTCCTCATGACGGTTTTATGGCAGGTCCACAGGATCAAAGGTTTATGGGCATGCCTCATCAAGATCAAAGACATAATGGATTCGATAGAACTCCTAGGCACATTGGAGATGGCAGGGGGATGATGGGAGGAGGTGAACCACCTCGTTTTATGATGGGTGGATTCCCTCCTCCAACACTCCATGAGCAGCATTATTACCCTCCGCCAAACAATGGTGGGCAATATAACCCTGAGCTTCTGAAGCAGCTGCCTGATAAGACTGGGCAACCTCCTCCTCCATTCTTTCAGCCACAACAGCAATGGCAGTGGTCTGGCCCCCCACTTCCGGAGAGCATCCTCTTCCAACCACCGCCTCCGCCTCCGCCATCTTAAATACCACTTCTCTCACTGTCTTTTATATATTAGTAAGCTAGATTTACTATTTATCTTATTTAAAAGGGCTCTGTTCCCCAAGAAATATATTTTTCTTAGTATATATATTAGGTGTACCTAGAAATCTAAATGCTTTCTGTAGTTTTAAATGAATTTTTTATTTTAAATAGTTTTTTTTTTTAATTATAAGTAATATTGATTTTAACCTTTTTTTTATTTTTAAACAAATGAAATCAATCCATAAATCACCAATAGATATTTCATAAATTAATCTTAAAAGTACAAAATTAAATCACAATTATGGATGTAATTGTTTTTATTTTGAAGTTATGTTCAATAATTGGTAACTTAATAATGAAATATTTGAATCATTAGTTAATTATTAAAAACACAAAATCGAATCACAATTATTGATATAATTGCTTTTATGATGAAGTCTTATTCAATAATTTAAAACTTATTATAATGAATTCTTCGATTTTTTTTTTTTTTACCATTTTTGCATGATCCCTTTTTGTGTCATGCATATTCTATTGAAAACCAATAAATTTTAACTCAAACATTATCAAATCAAATCACAAGGACTGCTTACTTTTATTTTACTACATCATTTAGTCTTGTTCTAAGACTTTTTTTTAAAATTAATTCTATGGCATTATTATTATTATTATTACTGAGAGGGGAACAGGGTTGTTATTATTGATGTTAAAATTGTTGAGTGGGAGAATTGTTGAACATGTCCTGTTATTTTTACAGATGGTGATGTACATTCTGGTAAGACTCGGGACTGGGCCGTGGAAAGGTAATCCTTCGCATGACCCATTATCAACTTTATGACCAGCCCGAGTCACGAACTGTTGTCTAAATACATTTTAAGTTTTACATTCTTCCATCGAAGAAATATATTTTTTTTAAACCTTCTCTCACTCAGATATATGGTCTCTTATATTTGTACAATAAAGCCTAAGAATCTTAGTTCATTATAATAATTGTGATATTTTCTCCTAACTATATTTGCTTTCTTTTGTATTAATAATTATTGTGAACAATTTTTTTTTTTTTTTTTTGGACTTATTTAATATGTATAAAGTGTATATTGTTTTCCTTTATTCGCTTGACTTAAATAATGCTGTAAATATTTATTATATATAGTTACTGTCGATAGAAATATACATAAACGAATTAATAGTCTGTAAATTTTGTAATAACTTATCTTGGCATTCCATTCATAGCAAGAATTACTTCAAATCTTTAATATGTTAGTTAAGCTATGATAGATGCACTCTCCGTACTTGCTTTTTCATATATTGTAATTTATTATTAGAGCCATTAAAAAATTAAATAATTTATATTAAATAATTTTAATTTATTATGCGTTAAAATTTTGCCTTTTTCAAACAAAAGGTAATTATTTAATTTTTTTTATTGGTTTGTATTTAAAAGTTTTTAGTGATACTAGTTTAATATTTATCACACAAGGCTATATTAATTTTGTGTTAGTTCTATATATTCACATTATATAGATAATGGTGCAATTTTTTTGTTTGTAAATAAATTACTTGAAAGCATTAATGAAATGACTACGTCTAAAACTCTTAATTTTATTTCTTGTTTTCCATTTCCTCCTTCTTTTTTTAATAAAATATCTTCATAAATTGATTCTCAAGTAAAAAAGAAAGAACTAATTAATGAAATGGTCAGTCCTGCACAAGTAATTAGGACATTTTCTAAATTTAAAATCATATCATTTACTATTGAAGGCTTTTTTTTTTTTTTTTTTTTAATTTACCAAAGATCTATAAAAGTTTATCTCCAGCATCTTTTTAAGAAACATCAAACATTACTCCGTCAACCGCACATTGTATGATATTATTATGGCTTTATGGTAAGAAAGTTTAAATAAAGCTAAATAGATTATATTCCATTAAACAATCTGGCTATACATTGCAGTAACATACATGGGTCTAATCCAATGATTAATTAAGTCAAATACTGATCGCTTAAGTAAATTTCATCTAACCATTAGGTTAACTATTTCGGTACTATGATTAGGACATCCTCCAAATTTCCTCTAGCTTTGTCCAGTATTTGAGGATCTGTAACATACATTTTGGTAGCACAATTTGTACTCTGCATTTAACAGGAATACATTTCCTTAAAAAACATGTATAATACATAGTTATTTACTAAATAAAATACTAAACAGTATAAGTTCATCTTGAAAAACTTTTTAGGAGAGAGAAATTTTACCATTAATTTGTATATATATATTATCGTTCGTTCTTTTTCCTATTATAATTTGGAATAATGTTAAGAGACTTAAATTTTACATTAGTGTTACTTCATTAATTTGAATATTTGTAAAAATGAATATATTTAATTGAATACTTAAATATATAGTTGACCGTAAGGAAGGAGATGGTCCAGGGTGGCAGTCATAAATAGACTAAATAGTGGCAAAACTATTTTATTAAAAGCCAACATTTCGACACGACTTTGCAGGTCTTCAGGGAGGTGAACTTGCTGAACACACTCCCTGAAGAATACCTGCAAAGTTGGGTCGAAACGTTGGCTTTTAATAAAATAGTTTTGCCTCTATTTATGACCGCCACCCGGACCATCTCCTTCCTGAATATATTTAATGTTCACTCAATTATATTTATATTATAATTAAATATAAATATATTTATATATATATTCAGTATACATTTATAGCTGTGAGAGATGTCTTCCTTCACCTTGAATAAGATGCAGCAGGGCTTGGTCTCATTATAAACCTAACAAGGCCAGTTACAAACAGAATTGGAAGAATTTGTTTACCTGAAAACTTAAGTAAACAACTTGTTATACATGTAACCTGAGAATAACGCCATCCAATAATTGCTATTTCGGACTCCAGAGGCTCATCAAAAGCAAATCTCTTTGCTGAACAACAAAATAGTGCTTGCTTGTACAAGTCATTAATTAGACTAGTCCTAACCAATGGCGGACTATACCAGGGGGGCCCATTCCCACTTGTTTTTTAATTTGAAACTTTTCATTTTGAAAATTAATAGCCTCGTCGAAATATGACCCCCTCATGAATTTTTATGGCGCAACCATGTGCTGCTTTGAAATCGACAAATAAAGCCTGCACACACATATATATATATATATATATATATGTACATGATAGCGGAAACATCCACCCTAATAACATGATCTGGGTAGATTCTAAGTCATTTCCGAAAGTAGACAGATTCAAATATAGCATTTCCAAGTCAATTTCAACCTTTTCCATTTCAAATTCAACTTCCGAATTTTTGTCAATTTTCGATTTTTTTTCGAAATGAAGGCCACTTACTATATTATTGAAGGCATAGCTTTTGAAAAATACAAAAAAAAATTGATAAAGCGGTGGTATGTCCATTTATTTTAACATTTTAGATTTTTTTCAGTGTAATATTTCTATGTCCTATTCAATTATTTCCAAGTCAAATTCAACCTTTTCCAAATCAAATTAAACTTTTTCAAAGTCTAATTCAACCATTTCCATTTCAAATTAAACCTTTTCCAATTCAAATTCAACCGTTTTCATTTCAAATTAATGTTTTAATTTTTTGTAAATATCCCCTCCCCCCTCCAATATGAAGGTCTATTATTATGCTCTCCTAAGTAGAATTTTCACTTACGAATATCGATTTATTGTACCTATTCGGATTTATTAGAGACTAGTATTATGCTGTCCTGTACCTAGTTTTTACAATAACCTCCATTTTAAGATTACCCCACTGCGTTTCGACTTATTTAAGTTTTTTTTTATTTATTCGATACAAGGGTGCATTCTTATGTTTCCGGAGCCGTAGATTTTGAAAACAACCTCCATTTTAAGATTAGGCCAACGCGTTTCGATTTCTTTAAGTGTTTCGAATTTTTATCATAAAATAGTGTATTCTTATGTTTCCGGAGTCGTAGATTTTGAAAATAATTTCCATTTTAAGATTACGTCACTGCGTTTTGACTTATTCAAGTTTTTCGAATTTATCTAATTTAAAGTTCTACTTTTATGATGCCGGAGCCTTAATTTAAAAAAAAAAAATCCAAAATGAAGCCTAATTAATCGAGATGCAGCGGCTTAATCATAAAATGGAGATTAAATATTAGATAAATTTTAATATTAAAGATTAGAAAATTTTCAAAACGTCTCCGATAACATATAAGTAGATCCTTATACCGGAAAAGTAAAAAAAAACTTTTATAATCCAAAACACAGTGGCATAAACTTAAAATGGATTCATTTTAAAAATCTTCTGCTCCAGAAACATAAAAGTAGATCTTTAAATTAGATAAATTCGAAAAACTTAAATAAGTCAAAATGCAATGGTGTAATCATGAAATGAACGTAATTTTCAAAATCTGTGGCGCTGAAACATAGAAGTAAACCTTTACTTTGGTTAAATTCGAAAATCTTAAATAAGTTAAAACGCAGCGGCGTAATCATAAAATGGAGTGCATTTTCCAAATCTACAGCTCCAGAAACATAAGAATACACCCTTACATCTAATAAATCAAAAAAACTTAAATAAGTCGAAACGCCGTGGCGTAATATTAAAATGGAAATCATTTTTAAAATCTACGACTCCGAAAACATGAGAATACACTCTTATGAAAAAAATTCGAAACAATTAAAGAAATCGAAACGCGGTGGCTTATTCTTAAAATAGAGGTTGTTTTCAAATCTACGGCTCTGGAAACATAAGAATGTACCCTTGTATCGAATAAATAAAAAAAAAATTTAAATAAGTCGAAACGCAGTGGGGTAATCTTAAAATGGAGGTTATTTTAAAAACTAGGTACAGGACAGCATAATACTAGTCTCTAATAAATCCGAATAGGTACAATAAATCGATATTTGTAAGTGAAAATTCTACTTAGGAGAGCATAATAATAAACCTTCATATTGGAGGGGGGAGGGAATGGCCATTATTTAAAAAAATAATTAATATTTACAAAAATTAAAACATTAATTTGAAATGAAAACGGTTGAATTTGAATTGGAAAAGGTTTAATTTGAAATGGAAATGGTTGAATTAGACTTGGAAAAAGTTTAATTTGATTTGGAAAAGGTTGAATTTGACTTGGAAAAGGTTGAATTTGATTTGGAAATAATTGAATAGGACATAGAAATATTACACTGAAAAAATCACTTTATCATTTTTTATTTTATTTTTTTGTATTTTTCAAAAGCTATGCCTTCAATAATATAGTAAGTAGCATTCATTTCGAAAAAAAATTGAAAATTGACAAAAATTCGGAAGTTGAATTTGAAATGGAAAAGGTTGAATTTGAATTAGAAAAGGTTGAAATTGACTTGGAAATGCTATATCTCAGCTCCACAATGACCTCAATAAATGATCAACTAACAGAGATAGACAAGCGTATAACAAGTGCGAACAGATCTTCCTTCTCTCTTTCAAAGGTACTTAAATCCAGAAATCTCAATATAAGGGTGTACAACGCCTTATTAAGCCAGTTCTGGTGTACGGTTGTGAAACCTGGGCTCTGACGGGCACATTAGAAGCCAGAATTGAGAGATTCTTAAGAAAAGTTCTACATAGGATAACAGGACCTATATGGGACCAGAACCTTGACACATGGATGAGAAGGAACAATAAAGAACTGCTGAAAGAAACGGGTCAGTCAATATCTCATGTAGTGTTGCCCAAAATCGGTCTTGGTCTTGCACTTGCACTTGGTCTTGCTGCAAGACCAAGACCAGGACTGGTAAAAAAAACGATTTTTTAAATAAAAATTAAGGCAAAATAGTTACTAATACTTGACAACTTTAGTTACTATATGTTAATAATTGGTATAACCAATATTCTTTTGCATTTAAAGCCTCTAATTTTTCATTCGGGCTTAGTTAGGTTTCTCCTATTAAAAAAATTACAGTAAAATCTCTATAGTAGTAAGCTAATAAGTAACTGCAAGACTGTTGCGAGAGTCTTGCGCAAGGCCAAGACCATGACCAAGACTGAGTTTGCAAGACCAAGACTCGCATTTGGGCAACCCTAATCTCATGACATGAAAACAAGGAGGTTAAGATGGACAGGCCATGTAGCTCGTAGTAATCCATCAGGACGCCTCCATACGACAATGAATGCCAGAGTAGTAGGCAAGAGACCACGTGGGAGGCCAAAAACCAGATGGATAGATAGGATAAACCAAGATATGGCTGAGCTTCATGCAGCAAACTGGAAAGCAGTAGCCCAAGATAGGCAGAAGTGGAGAAGGCGGCCAAAGATCTACAAGTTCTGTAGAGGCAACGGAAAAAAAAAAAAAAATATATATATATATATATATATATATATATATATATATCGTGATTTCTCTATGTTCTTTGTCTGTCTAGCTGTGTAGGTACTTGTCTCGAATCCAGTCGGAGCTAAATAATGCTATTTAAAAAAGCGAGAAACGGGTTCTCTTTTCTTTGAGCCGCCACAAAAATATACAATGGAATAACTCCCAGCTTACACGAGATAAGAAGGGAGATTATGTGACGTAAGATAAGATAAGAAAAGATGTTTCGTCTTGACCGGATTCTAGACAAGTACCGCTGTGTTTTATTACGTTAAGTCTTATAAACTCCCTTTTCCTTTAAAATGAGAGAGTGAGATCGGTCGATTTAGGAGAAGTAGAGAACGATAAAGGAAAAATCAATGTAGCTTTCAACCCTCAGTCAGTTAAAGTAACTTTACACTCGTTGGGTCGACCAACAAACACACATAGACGTACACCCCTCCATTTTCAGATTGTGTTCTTATGACCTCTAGTGCCATATAGAACAGGCTTTAAATATCTGTATTTGAACACAACATTTAGTACCATATGTACTCGTTTTGTCAATCTCAATAAATTTCCCGGGAACTCTCAGTTCAATCATGATCTTCCAAAGACTGTTTCTGTCCACCTGTCCTTTAGTCCACACAATAAAATATAAAAATAATACACACACATATATATATATATATATATATTGTATACTATGCTCATATATATTGCTAATACTGTATATTTGTATGTTAGTTTTAAAAAATTGTCTATAATGTTTAATAAGTATGCTGTGTTTGTAGCAACCCAATATAACTGGACAGCACCCTTTCATGAAAATAAAGTGATTCTCTTTCTATATTTACATTTTATTTTCTTTGAATGTGCCGAAAATTTTTTTTTTTTTTTATCTTTTCTATGCGGTTATTAGTTCTGTCAATGCTCGGAAAGAGGATACAGAAGAAAAAAATAGGGGGGGGGGGTACAATTTTTTACTTTTAGACTAGTAAGGAGGTAAATATATTAAAAATTCCCACTCCTAGGTAGTGAACCAAATGTGAATGTAAAAGTTTTATGAAACACGTTATATATATCCTGGGTGTTTCGTAATTCTGCTACTGTTCGAGGATATCGTGAAACATTTTCTAACCGAAGAATACCAAATCGTAAAACGTTTGAGGCCATTGAAAGACGCCTTAGTCAGAATGTCACGCTAAAACCTACACGAGTAAACGCCAGTCGACAAAGATTTCGACGAACTGCAAAAAATGTAGAAGAAATACACGATGCTGCTCAGTTATCTCCAACTGCTAGTACCAGAAGATTCTCACGTCGTTTCGATGTCTCCTTTATCAGCATATGGTGAAATTTACGCAAACAACAATTGTATTCATTTCGAGTAGGCAAGATTTTTTACCACAAGTTAGTCACTTTTCTTAATAGTGTCACCCATTATTTAAATGCAACTTATGGAGACCGATGGGTTGGTCAAAACGGACCTGTTAAATGGCCAAAACGATCTCCGGATTTAACGCCATTAGATTATTTTGTGTGGGGCTGGATGAAGTCTATGGGTTATTCTGCGGCAGTTTGCACGCAAGAAGAGCTAAGAAATCGGATAGTGGAAGCCGTAGTAACTATCAAGCACCTGATGCTATACGAAGAGCCAGAGAAGCATGGATTCGTCGTGCTAAATGCTGTATTCAACAAAACGGAGGCCCATTTGAACAATTACTCTAAATGTTGTGATAATAATAAATAATAAATTTTTAACCTTTGGTATCTGTTTAATAAATGCGTTTGAGGTATACGTTAATATGAACTTTTTTGTTTATATTTTTTGTTAGTGAACACATACCTAAAATAGTGCCGTGTAATTACGAAACACTCCTGTATAATACGAATATTATAAAAATATTATAATATTTTTTTCTAATATTATTTTATTGTAGCATACAACGAACTCCCCTCCTGGTCCTCCCTTTTGCAATGTACTTAACCTACAATAAGTAAATTGATTATTTCTGTAGATATGAAGCTGTAATGTACGATCTCATGTTATGTATTTACATTCAAAGAAGTTTTTATAAAAAAAAAAAAAAAAAGTTAAAGCTGGAATTGAGGCTTTCTCATCTATAATATACCCGCTAATTTGTGTGTTATTTATCTAAAAAGAATAGACAATAAAAATTGGTTAATAATATAAATAAAGATTAATTTTAGGTGTATTATAAAATATATTTTAAGAATATTGCAATTGACGAAATAGAGGCCCTCGTCCTACAAGCTAGTAGTAAGATGATCATTGTATCATCCCTCAGCTTGGGAGTAAGATGATCATTGTATCATCCCTGGATAATGATATGGTGGGCCGATTGATGGCACGGCCATGGCGTATCCTATCATTGGAGGTACTGGAACCGAAAGCATTGGCATAGCCGTTGGAAACATTGGTTGAGGTAACACGAATACCGGCGGATTATTTACCACTACTGGTTGAAATAGAGTCCCGTTCTTGTACGCTTCCGTCGTAGCATCTATCAACTTTTGAGCTTCATTTTCAACAAAATCGTCGTAGTAGAACCTCACGTTGAGCATATGCTTTTTACCACTGTTGTGCGATTTACGTTGACCAAAGGAGTAATGTTCGATGTAACTATTGCAATAATGGCAAAAATACTTCCCTCTACCCATCGGTAATCAATGGACTTGGAAGAATAAGTTATAAATGTTAATTGTAAAAATAATTGGTAAAAAAGTTCGAAAGTTCAACTATTAAAGTTGATAAAAAAAAATAACCTAACAATTAAAAGTCATATTGATTCATTCAAGATACCAATTATATAAATCATATTTTTTTTTCATATTCAATCATATCATTCAATCATATTCTCGATTATAACAATAAGTAAATAAAAATAAAAATATTAAAAAATGTATTTGACTAATACTGTTGAATTATAGTTTTAAGAAGTTATAATATGTGATAACAACATTGAATCTGTACAAGAAAATTATTTTAAAAAATAAGAAGTCGTCTCGCATGCAAGAAAGGAATGATTTTTCCAAATTAATCTGTTTTAATAAAATAAATTATAGTAAAATAAAAACGTTACCTATTTTTATTTACAGGCTTGTTTATTTGAATTTAAAACTACGTTTCATTTTACAAACTATAGGAAACACGAATGTATAAATGGGTTGTATATCAATGTATGAATCAGAGAAAGCGTCGATTAGAGATAGTGTCGCATTTACTTCTTTTTTTTTTTTTTTTTTTTTTGTGCTGACTGTATTTCTTGAGAGTTGCTGTTGAATTAAATGGTTTCTTGTTTGGTTTTTCTAATTTTTTTATTTTCTTCATCCAACATCTTCTGGAACAAATTTTAAGCCTTCTTTCATTTTATTTTTTTTCTTTTTATTCTTTTTAAAATCCCAAAAGGTGTAAAAATCCTGTTTCTTGTGCTGTTGTTTTTTTTTTTTTTTTGCATCTGTTTATGTTTTTGAATTGTGTAAATTCGGCTTAATTGCAAAGGTATTACCATTGGATAATACATACAGGGTTGGTGAGAGGTAGCCGTGAGGGGTAACTTTTGTCTTCTTCAGAGGCACTAGCGGATCCAGGTTTTAATTTTGGGGAGAGCTTCAGCCCGAAAGATTTTTTTTTCATAAAAATAACGATAAATACTTTGGAAAAACAGAAAGAAACTAACTACCTATATGAAATGATGTTTAAGTGGTTCTTTAAGTCCTTTTAAATGTAATTACACGAACAATAAGAGGTATTTTAAAAAATAATTTAAGAGGTATTTTAAAATTTTTTTCTCCATAAAACATGATTATATTTTACCATTGGGAGAGGGCTTCAGCCCGAAAGCCTTCCTTACCCCCTCCCCCTCCCCGTAGATCCGCTCGTGTTCAGAGAATCCCCCATCGTCTGACCAGAAGCGAATCAGAACACATAGCATAACATAAGGACAAAAATGCGTTTATATAAAAACGAGGATTAGTTGTTTCAAATACTAATATCAGACCAGAAAGTTATACGAGCAGCCAGTAAAGTGACGATTATTTATTCTAGACCTTTAACATCGGGTTTTAATTATATTTTAGAGATCAAAAAATTAATTCTTTTTAAGGTAATATTTAAGGTTATTGATAAGCCATCATGTTATGCTAAATATTCACAAGTGAATTATATTCCCATGGTAACTTAACTCACAAATGAAAATTAATTTCGATAATGAACGGTAGGAAGAAATTCAATGTATGATTTTTGAAACACACAATCTTTCGAAGAACTTAATGATTTCGCGTCCCAATTTTTTTTAATCATTATCTAAAACCAAAGCATCGCTGTTTTAACACCTTTAATAAAAGAAGAGACTCGATGAATAAAACTTATATGCACGTAGAGATAGTTAGGATTTGAGGAATACGTTTAGATAAAGGAAGAATAATTAGTTTCAATAACATGAAAAATGAATTATCGTCAGGCTATTTTGAATTTACTTACTTTTGGATGGCTCAACAGAAGAAAAAAGCGGACCAAGGTGAGCAATCAATTGTGATGATAGAATAATAGAAGGAAATAGGACCTTCCAAACTCACTCAAATTTCAATATTACAGGTTCCTTTTGAAGAAGAAATAGATATCGTTGAAGAAGAGGTTAGTGATATTGTAATACATCTTCATACAAACAAATTAGTAATTATGCTCTTAATTATTAAGACAAATACTTGATAATGATGTATTTAACTGATTGTTTTTATTAATTGTATCAAATCACGCTTTTGTGGATGGAAAAACAAAACAAATAAAACCAAGTTCATTTAAAATTTAAGAGTCATTCGACTATCGACAAAATGAAAAATAAATTGGAATTTGTTTAGTTGAAGCCCCTTCCAAACATACTTTTGACAGATATATGTGGTTCTTGGTAACTAATGGTGCTTTAGGTGACAGTTGATGTAAACAATAAGAAAGAAAAGTATTGAAGGTGTAAATAACCTAATAAAAGTTAAATGTAAATAATTTTTTTTGGCGGGAATAGGCGAATAGCCTTCCGCTTTATCGGAGAACTAGGTTATTTACACTCCTGACTATTAAAACAAAACCCCGGCACTGGATATAGAATTTTGAGGGTGTTTAACTGTTGTTGGGAATTCGGGAATCTAATACCTTTGTGACACTGAGTGAGAAGAAACAATAAAAATATATATTTGAAATGTGGGACTTAGTAAGTACACTTTAAATGAATTGACTCACCCACTAGCGGATCCAGGATTTAATTTTTGGGGGGGGCTTCAGCCCGAAACCTTTTTTTTTTCATAAAAATAACGATAATTACTTTGGAAAAACAGAAAGAAACTAACTACCTATATGAAATGGTGTTTAAGTTATTCCTTAAGTATTTTTAAATGTAATTACACGAACAATAATACTTTAAGAGGTATTTTTTAATTTTCTTTTCCCATTAAACATGGTTATAATTTTCCATTTTCGGGGGGGGGGGGCTTCAGCCCGAAAGCCCTCCCCCGTAGATCCGCCCGTGGACTCACCTGATTTGTTATTCTTCAATTGTGAGGCATATAGGACAACTAAATAAAATGACTTTTCACTCCTGCATAATAAATCAATTTATTTTAGCAACTGTAATAAATTAATGTAAAAAAGTCTTATAACTGTAGGCTTGATATTCTTAGTCTTCAATGTAGTAAGCCTCTCTTCCCAGATGACGTCTTCTCGTCTTCGTGTACAGGCCTCGAGTGCTCTTCTCGTCGTCCTTCTGCCAGCTGTTGCTAGCTACCTGCTCTGACCTTTTCCAGCGTCCTTCATCGATATGAGACTTTTCCATGAATAATTTGTCCACTGCATAATTAAGTACAATTCATCCTGCAACCTCACATTCCTATATATTCCTTCTCATTCCCTAACTCAATGTCTTCTCAAACTTGGCTAGATCTCTTCCCGACCATAGCTGAGAACGCTCATAGTAAACATCGACGTCAAGATGCGTTCTAGCAGTACTCTAATTATGGAGAACATCTATGTAAATACAACTTTATTGGATATATGGACGTTTCATTTTTACTTCTTATTATTATTATTCTTGGCGCTACAATCTTCTTGGAACCTGAAACTCCTCAATAAGTCATCAGCACTATTCTCGGTTCGCCGCGGCAGTTCTTTGTTTTTGCAACCGATCTGCTACCATCCTCTCCAAATGACCCAATCATTTGCTGTTTCTGGATTTGATGAAGGTGGCCTCTATCAATTACATTTTTTATTTTTTTTATTTGGACGACGCGGAAATCTACTTCACATAATCTACCATTGACTCTAAGCGCGTGACCAATCTTTGAAGATTATTGGGGTTTATTTTTCCTCTTTCAAGTTCATTTTTCTTTTTCATTTCCCCCTTTTTTTCTTACCTTTTTGATAAGCAACATTGTCTCACAGTCTTCTTCTTGTCACCTTCCGTCCTCTGAAGAGCTCTCTTCTGTCAATTTTACCATACCAACAGCACCTGTTATAGTTTTGATCCCCGCTCACCTACTTCCCTAAGAGTCCATAAAATATGCGGATGATCTTCCGCTCCCATGCACCTTCACTTCTGCAATTATTTAGGTGCTACAATAATTTAGACAAAGTTTACTTGTCCAATTCAACCTCATAGCAAATCATTGTTTTGTAAACAATTTCCTTTTCTTTTCTTGATAATTCTCCGAACTTCATTACTCGTTAAAGAGCAAAACAACTATTCTGGTTCCTACTAAAATCTTTTCGTATGTTATCATATGTTAACAAGTAGCCTATGTATTTGAAATGCTCACAATAGTAAACCTCGAGGACATATGTTTATGGTTTCTCTCATTTGTCGCGTGTGTTGTTCTTCATTAGCGGTTTTCTTTTTCGGAGAAATCGTATACGCTGGAAGAGTTCTAGTTTAAGTTTATAGATCAAACTGAGATAGTTCTGAAAATTCTAACTCCTTTTTCCACATTGAAGCAGAATGACGCCTTAGTAGCCCTTTGTAGATTATTCCAGAGTAACAGAGAATTCCTCAGGAGTGTTTCGTTTCTCCTAGTTCTACCTTTCATAATGCATCTTCATAAGTTGTTATTATGATTGCTATTTATATTATATTCATAAACATAGAATAATCGTTACATTCAGTGCCGGAAGTAAGGCTGGGCAATCTAGGAAATTGCCCCAGGGCGCCAATCACTTGTTAAGAATAGAATAAAAACTATAGAAAGCGTATGGGAATAATTAATTTTAGCCAATTAAAAAAGTAACTAGATTGGAAACATATTAAATAAAATAAAATTCAAATATTACTTACTATAAAACTATAAGAAATAAATTTAAATTGTGGGGGAGGAGAGAGAAATGTCATTGTCCGCTTCTTGCACTATTCCATTCTCAACTTACGACATGGTTAAGGGTTCCATTATGATATGCTCATGAGCACCTAAAGAAACCATTAAGAACCCATTCCGTTTCAATATACTCAAGCCATCAACCGAACAGCTCCAATATTGTTTCCCTAATACCTTATTGTACTCCTGATTTTAATTGACGAAATCTAGAATTACCTCTAAATGAAAAAAAGAAAGTGGCCTTTTTAAACTAAGACACTAACCTGTTTTAGGAGACATAAAATTAATTCATAATTTTTCTAATGAAACTTAAATGTAATTCAATAACTGCAATCCCTAACAAACTCATCTTATATAAATCTGCAGTCAACGATTTTTCCACCATAAACATTTTCATAACCAGAAACATAGGCGGATCTACGGAGGAAATGGAGAGAGGGGACTTTCGGGCTGTGGCCCCTCCTCCCATAGTAGTAAAATATAACTATGTTTTATGAAAAAAATTATCTCTACAAGTATTATTGTTTGTCTAATTACATTTAATAGGACTTAAAGAATCACTTGAACACCATTTCATATAGGTAGTTAGTTTCTTTCTTTTTTTCGAAGTAATTATTCTAATATATATATATATATATATATATATATATATATATATACAAAAAAAAAAAAATCTTTCGAGCTGAAGCCCCCTAAATTAAATCCTGGTTCCGTTTGTGACCAGAACAAGACTGCTCTTCCAATCTGCAGATCACACATTCATCCTACATCAGATAAATGTAGACATGGATGTATTTCTAAAGAAGCGATCATTTTTATTTCTCTAAGTAATCATGTTTTGTTTTTTTAAGCAATGTAGAATATTCTACTTTACTTTACTCCCGTGGGTCCCTTGTAGAGCCACAACCACAGCCTATCTTCTCTGTCAGCAGTCCATCGTATTCATTTTTCAATTACTCATCTCTACTAAGCGGACCATCTTCTTCATTATCGATCCATCACAGCCTGGGCAGTTTTTTACTTTCATGTTTGCCAGATGTTAGTTTTTTTTTCTTTTTCCATCCTTTCTACGTGCTCAAAGCCATCTTAATATTACGATTATTATAATTAAGAAAATGATAAGAACGTAGATAGAGAGATAGTGTTCAATAATTTCGTAAATAATTACTTATGTTTAATTATAAAATTTGATTAACATTTGTTTTTTATTTGCAGCCATGTAAAGTGTTTGACGTATATGTGGATATTCCGAAAGAAATAGTTTTGCATTATAAGCACTGTGACGTGCACGGATATACGATACCAGTTGATTTGAAAACAGCTTTGTATAAATCTAACATTTTCTTCCATCCAAATATATCAGCGGATGATGCTCCAGCATGCATTTTACACAATGTAGGTATTTTCAAATAACAGTAGATTAATTAAAAGGCACTTGAATTTTAAACAAACTCGCGTATAAAGGTGAAACATATCTCTAAATCTTCGCTTCGTTTCGCGCTAAAATGTTAACACTCATGTGTTTCTTTAAAAATGCTTTATTTCAAACAGTAATACAACAGAGCCATTTCTCTACAAAAGAGTCAGATGTTTAGCGAGAAAGAGACACCTATCTGTAATTCCATCTCAGCCGCGAAGTTCTGGTTTAGCTCTTGAATCTAGTTCGTCCATGTAGCTTTCTGCTAAACATTTTTTTCGGAGATCTATATATCCCGAAGGCGGTAAATGAAGGCTCAAAGTTAAGAAATTAGTATTTCCGTTCGATTTGTTTTCCTTCCAACTCTTCTAATCAATAAATAGTTAAATGCCATGAGGAACAGGAGACAGCACACCTGGTTTGTATGAAGAGCACTGCGATCATTGTTGGTCTTTGAATATTTAATTTGATCTGATGTGTTTCATCAAATAAAACAATTCTTTCTTTTTCTCAGTATGGATTGGGATAAATAAAAATTGGGCTATTTTGTTTGTGTTTTCCAAACAGCTATTTATAATCATATTTCGAATGTATGGTTGTGATGCTTAATTTCTGTAGCTTGGACTACTTTTGGTCAGGCGTCGACTTCAACATATTTTAGTTTAGGAGTTTATTCCTTTTATTAAATGGATTTCATTCTCCTGTCATCAAGACAGCATTGTCTGTTTTTTGTTGGATTGGAAATATAAAACTTTTTTTTAATCCACCCCTTGCACACCTTTTAGGCTATACGTTGATTTTTACGGGGCAGAAGATTAATGTCAGAGTTAAAAGCCTTCCTATCCGGCACCGGGATGCGAACTCGTAATTATTTTATGCCACAATAAATGAATAACTGGATTTGATTTCGCAATTAGGACCATCAGAGTCGAATTAAGCGAACGATGAGGCTTCTCGAAATTTAAAATATTTTTGAAAGGGCCAATGAAAAGGTAAAAATAAAATCAAGATATTTGACAAAAATAAAAATCAAACATCAAATTTATAAGTGGAAACTTTTTTTTAGGGAACCTATAATGTTTATCCCTTAAGGCCTCCACTTTTGGAGACCATTGTTCGGTCTCATGACCAATGAAAAAATTTCTCTTGACACTCTATCCGTTATTTCTATCAAATTCTTTTAATGACACGGAAAATATCAACCATGACATACTCTTAAGGTTTTTATTTCATGCTAGAATGTGTAAGTATCCTTTCACTAAAAAATAATCATTATCTTCTGACTTGAGCCAAAAATGTCTGTGTTTTATTAATCTTTTGGACGAATCGGAGTCAACAGATGTTATTTACGATAATCTTGCATTAATTTCAAGAACTGTTTTAGTTCATTTTTTATACTGGTGAAATAGATCACATCGTTCGAGTTCCGTACTATATCTAAATACGTCGAATATAAATTTTTACAGAATCCTATTTTTGGTGTTTGGAGGCCTTAAGTATTTAAGTTGCTCCATTGTTTAACACAATTTAGAAATCAAAAAGAAAATAAACCAATAGCTAGATAAACGACTAAGTTTAATAATCTTTTAATATTAAATTATTTTTTTCTAGGCTGAAGTTCCAGGAAGTGAAAAAAACCGTATTGATGTAAGTAAAAATTATCAAAATATAAAGTAGATTGTGCAATGTAGATACGTTATTAATTATATTTACTTCTATTCCATCAAGGGGCCTATTTTTAAAAATAATTCTCAAGACCTTTGGATTCTATTCATCTTGAAACACGAAGCTTCTAGTTTCGGGACATAAGTTAATTTTTTTTATTATTGAATGATCACAAAGATCCATTTTTGAAAATTCGTTTCGTGTTTTTTGCTGACAAATCCAAGAGGCTTAACATCGATTAGTTTGTACACAATCAAGTGACACTTTTTAAAATGCTAAATTTACCGAAGGTCACAACATTTCGGTAATCGAAGTAGTAAATGAAGAGAAGTTGGTTGGGGTATGCAGTCAAAAATTAATTAATGACATTTATTTGTATGTCTACCGACGTGTCGGCCCAAAATGCAGGCCTTCATCAGGGCTGGACTCAGGAGAAGTTTCCGTAAATCCAATGAAATGAAGTTAATTTGCCGATGCCCAAAATGTAACCTTTTCCTTATCTATAAACGTTTTTAATAACGATGCCTCATTAAAAATATCATTTTCATGTTGTTTATTATCATTAAGTCCAAACAATGGTGGTCGAATTCTAACAACTTATCAACAATGTGAACTTTGCTAAGCACTTCTTGATAATCAGTTTCTTAAAAATTATTCGTTGTTATTAAAGTTTAACATTAAAAAATCAACAAAAATAATATAAAAATCATATCCTGGCGAAACAGCATGGTCGCCGAAAAAAGTATATTCTCTTCCCGTTTTCCTGGCTTGTGCATTCTTTCCGAAAATCTGAACTTCTCGAAAACTCGGTGGGACAAATTATTAAAAATCGGTACTGTTCGGTCAAAAGAGGGACGTCTGATTACCTTCCATTATCTACAAAAATAAGAGAGCATAAACATGTACCCCAGTAATTCATTTTAAGTAGCAATGGTGCTAGACATGTTTAAGAGGAGGAATAAGTTTTCTCCAAAGTATCAAAATAACAGTAAGATTATGTTTCCTTATTTTCTCAATGGAAATTATGGGGAAGCTATCTTGACCTATTTGGAATATTTTTTAATAATATTAATTGTCTTATAAATAATATGAAAACTCAAAATATTTAAGTGATATATTATTCTTTCTTTAGAATGGACGAAGAAGTATTTTCGGCCGGAGGAGTATAGATGAGATTCCAGCGGTGGCTATCCATAAATTTAAACTGGCAGAAGAGACGAGAGCAGATGGAGCTGATGAAGTGAGACAGCAAAATAACCAGGCTACAACGTCCAACAGCTCATACAGCTGTCCTGATAGAATGAAACGCAGTAGTACACTTTGTTTCAATCTTTCAAGAAGGCATTCTGAACACGATAGACCAGCTAGCCTACTCCTCCAACCAAGAAGATTTACTCCTGAGCCTCGGCAAAGAAGATTAACATCAAAGAGTGTCGTTATCATCACTCCAGATGAAGAAAATCCCAAATAGATATTAATATAAGTAATGAATTTCTTAAAATAAGACGGAAATGGGTTTTAACAAAATTGAATTAATGAAAAATGTTAACATTAATAAAAAGAGATAAAAATGTTAACAAATATTAAAAATCAACATATATATATATATACATATATATATATATATATATATATATATATATATATATATATATATATATATATATATATTTATATATATATATATTTAAAATTTGTTTACTTTAGTCTTTAGTATAAATCTTAAGATTCATTCATAAAATAAATTTTGTACATTTGTCTTTTAAAAAAAATATAAAGAAGATAAAGGTTTATATGAGATATAAAAATAAAAAGTGAGGAGGATGGTTGGGGTGATCAGTCAAAATAAAAATGGGAAAAATAAATAATAATATTTATTTTTGCCATTTTTATTTTGACTAATCACCCCAACCATCCTTCTCTTCATTATTCACTACAGTTAACTATCAACCCACAATTATAATAAAACATATATCCTACCCATTTCACATCCCTTAAAGCATGATTATATCAAAATTTCACACAAATGATGTATGCAAAGGCAAGAGAAAAATCACTGACAAATCATATTACATTTAAAAAATGAATAAAATAAAAATAAGTTGTTGTTATTCTTGAGTCCTAAAGGGTAACAGTTTGAGTCCTACTTTTATTTCATGATAAACCCATGGAATTAATCTGGACATTTTCACTCTTCTAGCCTTTCCTATCATGGTTTTTGTATATAAGGACATAAAGCCCAATTAACATATCTTGTATATATATACTTGGAAGTATTTGCCACCCCTTACGATATCCCTGAAGGGAATATAATTTAATAAGTAATTGTGTGAGTAAATTTTAAACATAACTTTTGCACTGTCTATTTCATGAGTCATGGGATTTCGAAGCTATAACATATTTTAAATAAATGATAATTAAAAAAATATATTATTCAATTATTTCAAGTTCAACAGCATTATTTAGATATGAACAAAATTAGAAAATATACTTAGAGCTTGACGACAATTAATTGACAAACCGAAGGCCAAATCATGGAAACTAAGTTGAAGCTAAATTTTCCCTCCAATATTACTTAATAATACTAATAAATCATCTTGTTATATACATATTTGTAAATATTATGTAAGTAATATTGAGGAGAAAAACAAAATCTTAGTTTCATCTTATTGACCCATCAGTTTACCCAGTGCCTGTTATCTGTCATTGACTCATAGAACTGAGATAAAACCAAATATAGTATAGTGTACAACAAAGAATTCAATACTTAAATTGGACCCTTATTTGAGGATACTCAGTTGAATACTTAAAATTTTAATCCAACAGAAATCCTACATCAGTAGTCCCCAACATTGAGCCCGAGTGCCATCATGTTTTCCCACCTAACCTAAATTATTATAGCAACAACCTTGGCAGCATATAACTGCATTATACAGTGTCTGTTCAAACACTTTTTTAGAAAAGATTTAATAAGTAGTCAATTGGAAATACAATTTTGTTTCTTTGAAAGTGTTCATCTATCATCATAGAATTTTAACAATATTTTCTAGTCAATCATTCTTCTTTCAAGAACAAAAATTAAATTACAAACTTGGTAATTTAGCATTCAATGTATTTAATTACTTCTTATGTCCTCATATACTTGTCTCTTATTTATTGTTTCAAATTACCTTATTATAATCATTTTTAGCAAATTGTGAAGCACTGACCAATGAAATGCAGTATAAATGTAATATTGTCCTTAACATTTATAATGCTACTGTTAGTACAAAAGTTCATGAGCAAAAATTTAATTTTTTTGCAGAAGAGCATAAAAACTGATCTCTTAATGTTTTATTAGTATAATTTCATATTTTATTTCCCTCTGATATTTTCCTATTTAGTAGACAACTTATTGCAGTTGCAGACTACAATATGTCTCCTTTAGCACAGAGAATAAACATGTAAAATTGTTACATACGACCTTTTGTGCCAATAGCAGCGATATATCTTATAAAGAAATTTTATATTTTGCATACATTTTTAATGTATTGAATACCAAAATTAAATTCCTGTTTTTAAATAAATTAAATCAATTCTAATATAATTGAATAATGTGATGGCGAAGAATGATACCTTGTATCTCCAAAACTACTGTATTGCTATAGACAAAATTCTTGACAGTTAAAAACTTTAAGTTGATGGCAGTTAGTTTCATGATATTAATGAAATCAAAATATAAAATTTACTCTTTTTTAACAGAGCAAGGTTACCACTTCAAAGATATCACAAATTATATATTGTATATTAGTAAGGAAAACATTTAAATCTTTAATCTGGCAAAACTTTAAATTATGAAAAAATAGCAAATGAATATAACAAATAACTAAACATTTATTTACAGGATTTAATTTTTTTTTCTATCATTAAAAGCTAATTCATAAAATAGTTTCAGTAAGGATATGTGCGGACTGGTTCATTGACAAGAGGATCGTCTGGTCTGACAACTGAAAAACAAAAATATTTTTATTAGTGCTCAGTAAAAATGTGATTGAAAGATGTTAAAAATACAGAATAGTTTTATGTATACAAAAATAATTTCATTAAAATAATAGAAGGACCAGATCAAAACTGTTCACAAACCATGTAATACTTATACTGAGATCCCTAATCCTAAACACTTAGCAGAATAGTAACTGGTTTGTGTTTAAAAGGCGAAAGTAAACACCATGTTATCATTCTTACCTAACTTATTCTGCTACTAAACATTATAAACAATTATTAAAATGCACAAAAACATCCAAACAATTACAACTTAAAATAAACAAAATTATGAACTAAATATTGTTTTATATATTTATTAGAATGTTAAGATTTGTAGCACGAGAAACTGTAAGACAGAAAAACAGCACTATGTCAAGGATGAAAAGAATATAAAAGTGGAAAAAACTGACTAAAAAATTAGAGATAACAGCAATATCGCAGAAATCAAAGAAAGAAAAACAGATTATTGAATATCCTCTAGATCTTCTTAATGTCAATAAAAAACATTTTTAACTTTACACAATCTTAGCATGGTGTGAAATTCTTAAAATTTCCTAATAATTTTCACATTTTAATTGCAGATGCTCAACATTTCATAGAGCTATAATAATAATTATTATTAATTTCGGATGATGGTATATTGTACCCAAGTAATGTAGGTTGTGATTAGGGCTAATTACCTATTCCCAGTAAGCATTATCCATTGAGGACACAAAATAGCATAAATTGTTCAGTCAAAATGAAAAATTAAATAAAACAACAATGTAACCCTAAACAAAGGGTTAGCTTCTTCAACTTAATTACTGATTTGGAAATTTAAAAATACAGAAGTTTAAATTACAAACTGCAACATGGCTTTTATAAAACTTCAGTGCCAAAGATTCACCTTAAGAAAAGATTATTAAAACCATTTTGTTAGTTTCAACAAAATTCTTTAAAAAAGAAATAACATAAATTATTATTAAAAGAGTATGTAAATAAAAATTAATTAAAAGATAAAAAAAAAATCCTATGACAGCAAACCTTGTTGAGGTTACAATAAGTACACCATAAATAAGTCAATATACAATTATTTACACTCAACAAATCTTAAATTATAAATCAGTTGTGATGCAAAAATTTGAAGTTAGCAATGTCCAATCATCATAAACATTGAATTAGCATCATAGATATCGAAGAAAGAAGAACAAATTATTTAATTTCCTATTGATCTATTTAATATCACTTAAAAACATTTTTAACATTAAACAATCTAGGTTGATGTTAAACAACGATAAAGGTTAATTTGCTTTTGTCTCTTCTAAAAAGTGATAATGTAGTATAAATACTCATTTTTTGTGTAGCAAAAGTGTTTTTTGAAGACAACAGAGCTGAAGACAAAAAACAAAACAAAGGTTGAGCAGATTTCACCGCCAACGATGGTGGAACGGTCACAACACGAGGAGGTAAGCAAAATGAACTTAACAAATAGTGATTCAAACAGTGACGTTGGCTCCTGGGAGCTGGTTATTGGTCGTAAAAGATCTATGTCAGATTCAAGCGAGCCAAGAGCACAAAAACGACCAACGGAACCTATTCCAACCTCTAACAGTTTTGAGGTTCTAACCAAGATCAACCCGCAAACTGAAGAAATAAGACAACCGCCTCAAAATGATAAAACTCCACCAATTTTTATAAATGGTGTGGAGAATTATCATGCTTTAATTTCATTCATAGAAAATGAAGCTGGCCCTAATACATTCAAGACAAAATCAACATTAAAAGGTGTTACTGTTTACCCACAAACACCTGATATATATCGAAAATTAAACTCAAGCCTACGAAATAAAGGCGCGGACTTTCACACCTACCAACTCCCACAGGACAGGTGCCCAAGGGTTGTTGTTAAATATCTCCATCATGGAACACCAGTCGAGATAATCAGAGAGGAATTTAAAAATATGGGCTATGAAGTAACAAATGTTGTAAACGTAATATCTCGATTTAAAAAACCTCTTCCTATGTTTTTCGTAGACGTTACAAAAGAGACATTCAGAGAAGATATTTTTAAAATTGAGTTTTTATATTACTCTCACATTAAAATCGAGGAACCACGTCAGAACCGAAGTATTCCTCAGTGTATTCGGTGTCAGCAATATGGGCACACTAAAACATATTGCAATCATCGACCATGCTGTGTGAAGTGCAGCGAATATCACGAAAGCAGCTCATGTTTAAAAACAAGAGAGACTCCCGCTAAGTGCGCCAATTGTAGTGGTCAGCACCCGGCTAACTACAGAGGCTGCCAGACGCTGAAAGATCTCAGGGTTCAGCGCAATGGGAGAAACCGTCTTCAGCATCCCACAATAGCAGAGCCACCACAGGGACCTCCAGGCATCCATGAATTTCCTCCAATACGGCAGCGGATCAACCAAGCGGAACCACAGAACATCGCTGGACCTCAGCAGCAACATAATCAACCATTATCGAACTCAGCACCCCAGAACCAAAAAATATGTACAGGTATGAGGGGAGGCATTACTCAGACGGTACCTCCGGTAGATAATAGCTCTTCCCAGTTATTTAATATAATTAATGGGTTAAATAACTTAATCCAGCCCCTTTTCATTCTTCTTCAACAGCTATCACAGTTTACACAGGTCTGGTGCCCTAATTATGTCCCACAATAATTTAACTGTGGATTCTCTGTCAATTCTTTTGTGGAATGCCAACGGACTGACACAACACAGTACTGAACTTGACTTATACTTGCACGAAAAACGGATTGACGTTGCACTCATTACTGAAACACACCTGACACCTCGATCAAAAATTTACAACCAGGATTACTCTATTTATAGAACTGATCACCCAGACAAAACTGCACATGGAGGAACAGCGATACTCATAAAAAAATCACTAAAACACAATCCCATAGACTTACCCATTACACCCGACATACAATCAACAGGAATAACATTATACACTAAACACTATACTATAACATTTGCCTCAGTTTACTGTCCCCCTAGGTACAAGCTTACATCCACGATGTTTTCTGAGTTCTTCAAACGCCTCGGAAGATGCTTCATCGCTGGTGGAGACTATAATGCTAAGCATCAAGGCTGGGGTTCAAGGTTGTCTACTCCTAGAGGCAGAAATCTCTGGTCTGTCCTCCATGAACTTTCATTAGACACAATAAATCCAAATTCACCCACTTATTGGCCCACCTCGACGCAAAACTCCCGACTTACTTGATTTCTTTATTACAAAAGGACTTAGAACCGTACCTTTTGCCGTCAATACAAGCTCTGATCTTTGCTCTGATCACTCCTCGGTGCACATGGTTCTCTTCGACGCGCCTTCTGAAGCACAAAAGAGACCTAAGCTCATAACAGGTTGCATGGACTGGGACGCATATAGAGACCATTTGAACAACAATATTTCTGTTCCAGGTTCAATTAAAAATCAAATGGAACTAGAAGAAGCCGTCGAAACTTTTACAAAAAGTATACAAGATGCAGCATGGTCCTCATCAACATCTAGGTCACAAAGAGCAGTGAACTTGCCCCATTATCCTATGTACATAAGGGACTTAATCAGGGCAAAGAGAAGAGCTCGTAAAGTGTGGCAGACTAATAGACTTCCTTCAGACAGACAAACTTATAACAGATTGAACAACGAACTTAAAAGACATATTCAGAAATTCAAAAGCACAAACTACGACAATTTTATTAACAACCTTTCGACGGACGATGGAAGTTTATGGAGACACACAAGGAATCTTTTAAAGCATCGTGAGGTGTCAGCACCCCTACGAAGAGAGGATGGTTCTTGGGCTGTTTCGGACGAAGAAAGATCTGAACTCTTTGCTACTCATCTTTCCTCTGTTTTTAAATCACATACGGACTTCGTTAATACAGAACATGATATTTTTGTACAAAATAGTTTAGACATACCACTACAGCTCAAACTACCACCACCTCCTTTCACACCATCACAAGTTGCACAAGAAATTAGACAATTACCGAAAAGAAAAACCCCTGGTCATGACTTGATAAATGCTGAGGCGCTCCAGCAAATGCCAAGGAAAGCTCTAGTGTTTCTCACCACAATCTTCAATTGCATTCTTAGGACCACAAAATTCCCAATACAATGGAAATACTCTCATATAACCATGATTAAAAAGCCAGACAAAGAAACTAACAATCCTTCTTCATATAGACCGATTAGTTTGCTTCCAGTGTGTTCTAAATTATTTGAAAAACTATTATACTCACGACTATTACATATACTAACAGACAAACAGATTATTCCTGACCATCAATTCGGGTTTTGAAAATTACATTCAACACAACAATTACACAGGGTAACTGACTACATATCGACAGCACTAGAGCGAAAACTATATGCAACCGGAGTATTTCTGGATGTCGCCCAAGCTTTCGACAAAGTATGGCATCAGGGGCTTCTCTTCAAACTTAAGACCATACTCCCACCAACCTACTACTTAATTCTTCACTCCTTTCTCTCAGACAGATTTTTCTCCATTCGACACGGTTCAGGTATATCCTCAATTCGACCTATTTTAGCAGGCGTACCTCAGGGGTCAATCTTAGCCCCATTACTGTACATCACATACACACACGACATTCCTCAAAGTATCCACACACTTACAGCAACCTACGCAGACGACACTGCTATCATTACTAGACACGATAATCCTACACAGGCATCACTTAACCTACAACATCACTTACAAAAAATAAACGATTGGTGTAAACTATGGAAAACTCATATAAATTATCAAAAGTTACAACACATCACGTTTACTCTAAGACTAGAAACATGCCCTGCTGTATACTTAGACAACATACCGATTCCACAAACAGATAGAGTACAATACCTAGGCCTGACGTTTGACAGAAGAATGACATGGGGTCCACATGTAAAGAAAAAACGTGCATCATTAAATCACAGATTAAAACTATTGCATTCATTATTAAGACGACATTCGAAATTAAAA